CCAATGAAAAAGAAAACAGATTTTTGCTTTTACATTAAAATTTACCTTTAAAAAACTATAAGTACAATAAAGTTTAAGTACTTTCTTTTAATTTTGTGAAACTTTTTTTTTCGATTTAACAATAAAATTCAACTTTTATGAATTTGTACACCATAACGTTTATGTGGCTTAATTGTATGAGCACAAGTGTACGTATATATCTTGTCGCTTGACGCAAGATGATGAAAAAATTTGCATACTTAATTGGATGAGTGTAAGCTGKAGTGTATCTAATAGTATAGTATACGTAATTACAGTTGTTTTAATTTAATGTAGATACCTCAATAAATACAAAGAAAAAATAATTCAATTCCTTATATTTATTTTAGATTGTTGCAAATTTCGGAGAAAAAAACTCAAGTCAGACCCAATCACTGTTAAAATTATATTTAAATAAATCAATACTACTTGTTTTAAATCAACTAATTTAATATGTTATTGTTAATTTAGCTTATATACATATGTACAAAATTAGTAAATTAATGTATTTAGTATTGTAAGTTATACGAAGTCTAACCACATAAACCAAAAAAATAATGTTTATAGTAAATAGCATACACAAAATATTGACTGTTAAAGAAAATTGAAAATTGTTTTATTTATGAGGAAAGAGTTGACTAATACGATAGGCCACGGTGATCAATGAATAGCAAAACAAATGACTTATCGGACAGTTTTCTGTACATTGGTGACCATAACCTTAACGAAACAAACTATTTTTTAGTAATACTATGTTCGGATCGACGATGAAAACAAGTTTTTGTGGGAAAAATCTGTCAAACGAAAACGCAATCCATATCAGTTTTCCCTGAAAACTACTTGAAAACTTACATTCCACTCATGATTATCGATTTAATCGATTTTATTGGAAGACATATTTTGCCGACCCTACACAACACAAGCACACACGGGAAATTATTTGCAAAACCCATGTTTATGTTCGTGCAATGAGAGAAACCTGTTTTAGCTGTCATTTTACTTAAATACATATTTCGTCGTTAAATTGTTTAGGAAGGTAAGTTTTAAATAGATTTTATAATTTCAACTTAAATTATAAAGATTTGATACAGTTTTTGGGTTAAAAATGTATGCAGAATGTGCGCTAGTTCACAATAGTCATTCTCAATACATTGACCGAAACAGCCGTTCATATATCGCTAGATTCTGCAACGGGTGTTCTCTTGGCCTTGCATATTTCGGTATAGGATTTTTGCATTTTGTGTCATCGTGCACCCCCTATTGATATTGAAATATGGAAAGCAAAAATACAAAAAAAAAAGAAATTTGTGGAGTGATGGGGGAGAAGTCCTACTCATTGAATTGTGGCAAAACAAAATTAATGCTCTTCGCAGGCCACTATTAACCCTTTCGCGGACACACGAAATTTATTAGATGTTATCAGAATGACACATACGGCTATAACCGACGTGATGTTTTTGTCTCACTCACGAAAACATTCGTTGTAGTTAACAAAAAAAAAA